GTTAATATATCAAATTAATACAATAGAAATGTCAACACATTTGCCTGTAGTAAAGCAAGTTCATTCTAAATTTACATGCAATAGTCAGTAAGAATTGTCAATAAATCCCTGAGAAAAATAGAGGAATGTGAGGAGGAGCCAGACCTACCAGATAGTAAATCATATTATAAGGGATGTAAAATGAAAGACGAATAGATATTCAATATCTAAAATGACTGTTAATTTCTCACATAAAACATCCTGAAATCAATCAAAACAACCAGGCACATAAAGAGACAAGACAACAAAACATAAGGCAAACATTAGACAACAGAAAGATTCTCAAGGAATTCAGGTAATAGAATGACCTGTAAGAAACATTAAAATAAGTCTACTAAATGTATTCAAGTATCCAAGGAAATAGTCAAGATTAAAAATGTCAGAGGCTGGGACCAGCAGTTAGTGTAATGGCTATGCCGCTGGACTCCCACGTAGTCGACCGCGGTTTGAGTCCCGGACCCAGTGGCTTAAACTCACGCCAGGCACGTGTATGTGCATGCCCAAGATCCCAAGAGGAGAATGGAGGAGAAGGGATTGCTGCGTGGCCATCCCCCTTGTGGGGTGATTTCTCGCTTTCTGTCTCTCTGGCAAGTGCATGCACCCTATAGCAAAAAATCTCTCTGAAAAAAAAATGTAAGAGGCTGGTCAGAAGCTGGGCTGTAGTACAGTGGTAAGACATGATGCTCTGTGAAGCTGGCCTACATGGCAAAGTTCCAGGTTTGTGTCTCATGCCATTTCTCAGTATGCTGGGCATGATTTGGGGCTGGCTGAGGCTAGGGGTGAATCATGGCATTAAGACTTTGTTGCAGGGGCTTTCTCTCTGTCTCTGACTTATTTATGGAAGAAATAAATAAAAGAAGATTGAAATTTTCAGTCTAGAATGGCATGTATAAATAGAGAAAGCAATGAAAAGTTCAGAACCAAGAAAATACAGTAACTGAAATTAAGTGGATAGGTTTAGCAGCACATTAGACATAGCCAAAGAGAGAATAAATGAATTTGAAAACAGGTCAAGAGAAAACAGAATAAAGCATGGATGAACAAAAAGGTTAAAGAAAGGGTATGAAGTTGTGGTGACTTTAAAATAGCAAGGAGCTTTTGGGCCAGCAGTTGGCATGATGACTATGTCACTGGACTCCGTGTAGTCAACTGTGGTTTGAATCCCGACCCGGTGGCTTAAACTCACGCTGGGCACATATGCGTGCGTGCCCAGGATCCTGAGAGGAATTGTGGCATGGCCATCCCTCCTGGGGGGTGATTTCTTGCTTTCTGTCTCTGTCTCTCTCTGTCTTTCTGGTGAGCACACATGCCCTATAGCAAAAACCTCTCAGGAAAAAAAAAAAAAAAAAAAGATCAAGGAACTTTTAAAAGTTTATAGAATGTGGGACCAGCAGATGGCATAATGGTTATATCACTGGACTTCCATGTAGTTAGCCACAGTTCAAGTACCAGACCCAGTGACTTAAAACTCATTTTGGGCACATTGTGTATGCATACTCAAAATCTTGAGAGAAGAATGGAGAATGTATTGTGGTGTGGCCACTGCCCCAAAGAGTAATTTCTTGCTTTGTCTCTGTCTCTCTGGTGAGTACGTGTGCCCAATAGTAAAAATGTCTCTCTCAGAAAGTTTTTATAATGTATATTATCAAAACAACCCCATGTATTGATTTCAAAATTTTTGCATCAAAATAAATTTATACTTTAATTATGTTTTTCCACTTTTTTTTTTTACAAGTCTGGGGAGGAGCGGTAAATGGTCCAAATCATAGAGTGAGGCCATGTTAGAGTGGGAAGAGTATTTTTTTTTTTTTTTTTTTTTTTGGAGAGATTTTCGCTATAGGGCACGTGCGCTCACCAGACAGACAGAGACATAGAGACAGAAAGCGAGAAATCACCCCCCAGGGGGGATGGTCACGCCGCAATCCCTTCTCCTCCATTCTCCTCTCAGGATCTTGGGCACGCACGCACATGCACCCGGCGTGAGTTCTAAGCCACCAGATCTGGGACATGAACCGCGGTCGACCACGTGGGAGTCCAACGACATAGCCATTACGCTAACTGCTGATTCCCATGTTTTTCCACTTTTTGAAGTCCTCTCATTTGATCTTAAAATTACCAGTTCTCTATCCAACAACAGAAACAAATGCTAGGATAGGTAGTTGAAAAGACACCACTGGACCAGTAGATGGCATGATGGATCCCGGCAGACTGAGTCCTGGAATAGGCGGCTAGAAAAACACACCAGGTGCATGTGCCTGTGTGCCCAAAATCTTGAGAGGAGTATGGAGGAATAGGGACTGAGGCATGGCCACCCCCCCACCACCCCCACCCCCGGGATGATTTCTCACTTTCCTTCTCTTTGTGTCTCTCTCCAATCACTAAGAAAGATTTAAAGTATTAGAAAACAACTACCTTACAGACCATGGGATAGAATTTTTAGTATATGTGCTGCCGAAGCGAGCACTGGGATAGAATTTTTAAACAAGACACCCCCCTCCCAAAAAAAAAATAAAACCCTCAGGAAAAGATAGATTTGACTACAGTAAATAGTTAAAAGTTATTGACTATATCAGTAAGTTTTATCAAAAACTCCTTCAGTCAGTGAATGTTAAACCTCAAAGGCTCCCAGTCTAAGTCAGAAAAAATAGTGAGAAAGGTTCATCTTAATTTTACAAGAATTTATAAAATATTTAGTAAGTGTACACAGAAATTAATGAACGCAGAACTAAAAGGGAGATTAATAAAAACAAATGAGGCTCTTTGAAATTTTTAATAAGTTCGCCATATCTCTGGCAAGACAGGTCAAGAAAAAAATGCAAATACAGGCTGAAAGAAAGGAAAAAGATCACCTTGTAGAAATGAGTTAAGAATAATGAGAGCTGTGATAGTGAGACCACTGTTCTTATCCCTTGGGGTGGAAGGGGACACAGGCAGATGTAACCCACAGGACAGTGTCCAGGCCTCCCACCTCCCGCTGTAATCAAGTGCCCAGCAAAGGCTCTAGAAATGCAAAGAACATGTCCCAAGTAAATATATTCATTCATTCGTTTATTCAAAAAACACAGAGGGTTCTGTACAGCAGGCCCCACCCCAACGCCTGGCACAGTGACAAAGGGATTCCAGGGACAAGTCAAAGGACTGGGAAGGGCAGACAGAGCTATTTTGGAGTGAGTAGAGGGAAAAATAAAACCAGACCCTTCCATCTGGGGTCGGGGCAAAGATGGCAATACCGTGAGGACGGTGGAATTAACAAGCCACAAACGTGGTCCATGGCAGACACACTGGCAGGGCATCTGCCCAAGTAGCTTGCTTCCTCAGTTTGCAAGGTGGAGGAAAACCCAGGCGGAACCTTGAGTGGAGACGGGATGTGCTATCCCCGTCCTCTCTCCTGGGTTGGGTCGCTGGTGCTCCACTGCCCTCCACGCGACACTACCGCCACCCTGCTCAGGGGACGGCGGGCCACGGACTGGAAGGGGCAGCACAGCCCCCTGCTTCCTGCTTGGGAAACCATGAAGAACCGCCCTAATTCCGAGCTCCACGTGGGCCTAGCCGAGGCCCCAGCACGCGGGTATCTGACCCCGCGGTGGACAGTGAAGCAGCACTCAGCTCTCGCCGTGTCTCCCGGGAACTGGAATCTGAGATCACCGGGAAGCCCTCTGAGCGTTTTCTCTTAGAGCCGGGCGAAGTGTTCTTTCTTTTCTGGAGGTCACCGATGGCTTTGGGAATGGAAAGAAAACCTAAGGGCCCTCTTCTCGGGGAGCACGGAGTGTGACGGTTCCAGACCGTCTCTACCACGCGGCGCTCGGGGACTCTCCGTGCCCAGTGCTGAGGCCGCGCGGCTGGCGCCCTCCCGGGGTGCGCCCTTGCCCGAGGAGCGCAGCGGTGCGCGCAGCCGGTCCGTCTGTCGGGCTGTGCTCCAAGGCACGACAGGCAGAGCTGAAAGGCGGAAGGAAAGGCCCCAGAGCCGGGATTAGGGCAGGCCGCCCCAGGACGGGCACTTTCGGTGTAAACGTGCAGTAGCGCCCATGCGGCCGGAGGAGCGGATTCTCCTGGCCCCGCCTCGCGTCCCTTCGCGATCCGCGTCGTGCCCTGCGGAGACTCCCCAGGCTTCCGTTCTGCCGCCGCGCCCGTGCCGTACAGCATGGCGGCGCTCCCCGCCCGGCCGCCGCCGGGTCTTGCGCAGTCCCATTTGACCCTTGACTCCGCCAGCGCTTCCTTTTTCCTCTTCCGGGGACGGTGTCTAGAGGTATGGCGTCTTCCCCTGCTCCCGGGCTCTCCTTCCTCTGCAATCGGCCGCCATCCGCGGAGCAGCGGGGCCCAGGCGCCCTATGGCGTCTTCCCCTGCTCCCGGGCTCTCCTTCCTCTGCAATCGGCCGCCATCCGCGGAGCAGCGGGGCCCAGGCGCCC